AAACCAAACAGATGAGTGGATACGCAAAATGTGGTCAATCCTTACAGTGGAATATTATTCAGCCATAAAAAGGAACGGTGTTCTGACTCATGCTACAACATGGATGAACCTCAAAACCCGCTAAGTGAGGGGCGCCTGGGTGGCTCAGTCGGTTAAGCCTCTGACTTCGGCTCAGGTCAGGAGTTCGAGCCGGACATCAGGTTCTGGGCGGACAGCTCGGAGCCTGGAGCCTGCTTCGGATTCTGAGTCTCCTTCTCTCTCTGCCCCACCCCTGCTGGCACTCTGTCTCTCTCCCTCTCTCTCAAAAATGAACAAACTTAAAAACAACAACAACAACAACACGCTAAGTAAAAGAAGCCACACACAAAAGGCCACATAGTGTATAATTCCTTTTATATGAAATGTTCAGAACCGGTAAACCCACAGAGACAGAAAGCGGGATGGCGGTGACGGGGACCGGTGGGGAGCACGATAGGGAGCGGACTGTTCGTGGGATGGAACTTCCTTTTGGGGTGATGAGAGTGTTCTGGAAGTAGAGAAGGTGGTTGCACAACACTGTGAACGTACCGAACGCCACTGGATTGTTCGCTTTGAAATGGTTAACTTTGTGTTATGTGAATTTCGCCTCCTTAAAAAAGGGGGGACCTTCTCCGACTGCCTCCTCTTAAACTGAGGGGGCTTAAACCTAGGCCCCTCTGGAAAGGAACGGTGGGGAACGCTGCCCAACGATGTGAATGTACCGAATGCCACCGAACACTTAAAAATGGCTGAGAGGGGCGCCTGGGTGGCGCAGTCGGTTAAGCGTCCGACTTCAGCTCAGGTCACGATCTCGCGGCCCGTGGGTTCGAGCCCCGCGTCGGGCTCTGGGCTGATGGCTCAGAGCCTGGAGCCTGTTTCCGATTCTGTGTCTCCCTCTCTCTCTGCCCCTCCCCCGTTCATGCTCTGTCTCTCTCTGTCCCAAAAATAAATAAACGTTGAAAAAAAAATTTTTTTAAAGGGAACAGCCCCTCCCCGACCAGTGGTTCCCACCTTTCCATGCCCCTTTTATGCCTCCCTCACTTAGCCAAATTCGACAGGAATTGGAGTTTGCAGGTGTGATTCATCATGAAGCAACCCAGGTCTCCCCCCTTCAACTGTGACTTCCACGAGGTCCAGGCTGCGTCCCCAGCACCAGACCAGATCCTTTTTATGCGCTCAGAGAAGTTAAGCTACTTGCCTAAGGCCACACAGCAATACAAGCCAGCTTCTAATTATTAAGCAACTTCTCTTGGCCAGTGCCTAACTCGTTGAACCCTCAAAGCCAAAGCTGGGAGGCAGGTCCCTTTATTCTGGCCATTTGGTGAGAGAGGAAAGAGAGGCTCAGAGAGGGAAAGTGACTGCTTTAGGATCACACAGCAAGGAAATGCACAACCTGGAATCAAAGAAAGGGCTTGAGAGTGGGGGGGGAGGGGTCCTCTCAACTGAGTATGCTGGGACCTGACTGGCCACCCTTCCAAAGCCTGTTTCCCCACGTCAGCCGGTTGTACTCACTACTTCTGGCTCTGGAGGTGCAGCGTGGAGGGGGCTGCCAAATCCCCAAGAG